ATTTCGATATCTCGCCGACTTTATAAATTTAACCAAAAGATGTTTTCCCCCGACGTTATATGAACTGACAGTGACATGGGCACTAAAACTTGTACACAATGATGAACCAGTTACATCCATGGATAACATTATATTCACTGACTAGCTATAACACAAGTTTTTCAATTTGTTTTCCTTTTTATGCTGTTCTATTTCAAACTTTATTTGACTTGATACAAAAACATAAAATACAATGCAGTAAAATGATATAAAATTTATCAAATATAAAAATATCTTGTCTTAATTGTATTAATTGTATTAGTAGATTGACCAAATTGGTTGGGAAAAACTGATTACTAGTATTATGCAAATATAATTATGCAAATTAGATGTATTGTTATGCAAATTGACCGTGATGCTTGACATGAAGTCTGGGGAGAACACTGCGGAGGTCTGAATTACGAATTGTCCCCATTGTTATACCACGTAAAATTGAGGCTTTTCTTCCAAGAAATAACACAAGAGTCACTCCAATTTCCTAACGTTTCTTGATTAGAATTCCCGATTTCTTAATAAATATATTATTTTCAATTATGCTTCACTTAATTCATCCGAATCTGAGCACGATATGCGATCCGAGTGAGAAGTTCACGCTCGCTGGATCTTGCGTGGGTGACGCCATCTTGGATTCACAATCCAGAGGTCAAAATTGTTTATATCACAGATATATATTTTTTCACATTTTGATCTCAAAAAACAAATACAATATCAAAAATACTGACAAAAATCAAAAGTTAGAATAATAGTACGACTACATTTCTAAAAATAATAATGAAAATACGTTTCATGCACACCGGAAACATGTGGCTTTTGACCCCAAGTGTGAATATGTCATTTGCATATGAATATACGTTTGGCAAAGAGCGTTTGACACCGTGGCTTACGGCTTTGTCTTTATAGAGCTGCTTTGTTTTTTTAAAACAATATCCAACCAATGAGAAACAACAGGGGATTATCCCGGGAAATTGGCGTTAATACAATGCATTTGTAGATTTAACTAGTTAGCCAGGGAACTTTACAGTCTGTGAGAGACTGAAGAAATCAGATCACGGGATAAATAATAGCATCGCGGAGGAAACGCGTAGCGTCGCGGGCAAATCCGATCGCGTCGCAACCCACAACGCTGTTTTGGCCTGGGGAGAACACTGGGCATGAAAGTGGAAGTGGATTTATGCGTAAACTGCTTAGAAATACATGCAACTGAAATAAACAAGAAAATCAATGTTTGTGCAAGCTTTGCTGTCTATGGTTTTGCAGTAAAGATTCAGTCCCCTGAGTTGATAGACTTTAGGTTGCTGGACTACATGCCCAATTACTTATGAGTATGTTGCATTTATCCCTTATAGAGTCTGATGTCTTCACTGTTAAAATACCAAAGAATTTGGCAACATCTTTGACAGCATGGAACAGTAAAACTGAAGACAAAAGGAAAAGTCTAGAAAATAAAAACAGACAAGTTTTAAGGTAAGATTGAACCATTGCTGTTTTCGCTGGAACCAAATCAGTTTAGGGCTCACAGATTTTTGTATGCAGTCTACTGCCAGTTTTGGAGACTACTGAGGTGTTGTATTGCCGAAGAATATTCATATTGGAAAGAGGCTTGTAGAATACAAGTTATTGTTTGGCTGTTGTGAAAATCTGCAGTTACTCAAAATATAAGGTTAAATTTTCTGTTAACCAAAGACCACAATTGCAAAATAAAAAGTTAAACAAACCAATAAAAACACTAAAATAAATTTTTCGTCCATTCAAAGCTGTCAGTTGCGTCTTAAATACTAAAACATGAAATAATTATTTCTATGCTTTTATGCTGCTAATGAAGATTAACAATTATTACGGTCCATCATTGATGCAGTGCTCATCCAACAGTTATGTTGATGGTTGCACGATGTTCTATGTTGCTTAGGAATAGATCACTGTACCATGTAATTCTATGGGCTCTGTGTTAGCTGCTGTTAAATACCCATTGCAGAGCCAATGAAAACAGCTTAATATCGACTTGGAGACAATCCTGAACAACATTATTTACATATGTTGCACATGCAGGGTAATCTTGTTAGAATGTTGAGTTTTCGAGCTTGTTGCCAGCCAGTGAATATGCTCTGATGTTTGCTCCCAAAACTTGTGACTGCATATTCCTCATCTGTTCCCCAGCATAAATCAATTGTTTTCCCATAGATGGTTAACTGTCACCTATGTTTACTAGTTAATAAGTCGGTTAATAGTACAAGTTCATCTTAAAGTGGGACTGGCTAAAGTTAAGAAAACACTAAAATATGTTGTTTTTTTGCAGACAAAAAGCCAGACAACAGTATATACAGAAATCAACTAAGAAAATTAGTATATCCTCGCAAATTTCAAACAAAACAAAACCGATGATCAGAAAACCAGTGACGGCTCAATCGGATACTAGTCAAGAGCCTGCCAGTAAGAAAACTAAGAAAGAAACGAATATTGTTCACAAGTCGCCTGTAGTTAAAAAGATCAGACTGACAAAACCATCTACACCTTCGTGCTTAAAGTGAGTACTGTATTTGCTATATTAGTACAGGTGTTCTCTCTAGGATATGAACAGGTTTGCTAATATAAAATTATATTTGTTTGTTTTCTAGGCGTAATTTTTCAAAACCAGGTTCCCAGATTTTAAAATCGTCAGAAGAACTTGAAATGGAAAAAATTGCCGAGATGAGACATCAACTTGCTCAGAAGCGGAAGCAAGCTATGGAGTCAAAAAAAATGGCAGAGTCAGGTCAGGGCTGTGGTCCCATGCGTTCAGAACATAAAACTACCAAACCCATGGAATTTCATTTTGCCACAGATGAAAGGATCAAGACACATGGCATGGAGACAAGGAGTGACACAAAGTCGTCCAACTTTGTTTCTGGTTTGCGCAATCATCCCGCTTCACCTGTAAGTTCTGGTACTTGTGGCAAAAATTCAAGTAGTTCTGTAGTAAGTTTTGACTTCTTTTATTACATGTGAGCATCACCAATGTCATCAGGTAATTATGTATAGTGGTGATCATCATAAAGATTGGGAGAATTTCATTTTTTAAATTAATATCTATTCATTACTATAAAAAAATCTAATTTTACCGTAATATCTGTATTAAAAGCAGCGTCCCTAGTATAAGTCGCACCCATTCTTTTTGAACAATTGAGTACCAAACATTCACCATTTCTCATATGTGTAGATGCTCTAATAGAAACAGCATTGTTCCACAGCTTATAATAAAGATTTTACAGTACATGTACTTCATTCTTTGTCTTGCACTTTAGTTATGTGGCTGCCCCTTAAAAAATTCTCTCCAGCCTCTTAGTTGCTAATTAATAATTACTCGTATATTACAATAATTTAAATTATTTCTGCCATACTATGTGTTAATTCATTTCTGTACAATTCTTTTCTGCATAATTTGTACAAGCCTTTCATCA